CGCATAAAGAACTACTGCCCTTATTTGAGACTATTGACAGGATCAGCAGCCTGTAGGAACTTTGCTTAATTTTTCTTCCTGCTCACCAATTGAATACCCCTGTGCAACATTAACCCAATTGCAAGATGAAAGACCAAAAGGGATTAAACATTCCATTTCTAAATACGATGATATGATGCACCTGTGTAGCCATGAGTATTAAATTGCAGAGAAAAGTGTGTGGGTGCCCGTTTCAGCACCTACTAACATTAATTCTGTTACCTTCGCATTCTTTCTCCTAACGTATCATATTTCAAGGAAATGGAATGATGTGGATGACAGCAGAGAAGCTCCCCCAGCTATATGGAGAGGGTCATAATTCAAAAATCAACAGAATCCTCTTTCGAGGGAAGATAAAAGTGACATGGCAGAGACACACAACTACCATTTTATGGTCAATGGACAGAGAGTTAGCAGGATTACCGCCACTCAATCCAGGTAAGACAAATCATGCTATCTCCTCCTTTACTTCCATGCTGCAGTTCTGTCATGTCATATTCTATAAGCTAAAGCAATATGTGTAATGTACTGAAACCCTAAACATAACACATAACTGATGTGAACACAAAACACTGCGATGTGCAAGTTATTAATACATGATTCTTGGAAGAAATAAACCAACATTTATCAAATCACAGCACTAGTTGCCACAGCTCGAAAACTTGACAAGTGAAGCTTCCACAAATTACTCATGATTTCGTGGGTGACACCTTGGCTGTTAATGTGTCACAATTGATCAAGACAATAAAATTAGGCTTATCTAGTAATGAAATACACCGTACCTAAAACGATACATAATTGATGGTTAAATCTATCTGATAAATGGGACGCTAATGTTTAATCACCATATGAGTTCGATATGTTATACGTCTTGAATAATGAAAAGTTCAACCCTGTTTTTCCATGAATTTAACAGCTAATACTTATGGAATGATTGACTGGCATGCATTCATAACTCGTTGTTTGAAATGATTTACATCACGAATGTGCTTTGAGTAAACCTTCGCTTCAACATGTTCTCACCAGTAAAAGTCTAATTGGAGACAGGTCTGGCGACCTTGCTGGCCACTCCACAAGCTAAAAAGTCACATATGGTGCACGACTTCTGGAACACCCTGTAGATCGAGTAGTGGCATGGTATCATCCNAAAATCAATGCATGAGACATGCTCATTGTCCACAATGATGGAACGTTCAAAATGATTGCCATTCACTTTCAAACAGAATGCAACCTGTGCATAACTTGGGTAAATTATAAATGGATTAAAGTCACCGGGATGGCATCAATTGGTGGCAAAATGTTTCCTGTTCATATACAGCTGCAGCATCCCCTTTTGACATAAACAGCTTTGTGATAAGCAAGGGAGCAAATGAGTTAGGGGCTCAAGAGCATCTATGTCAAAACATCGACTGCTATCTGCCAATTCTTAAAAGTTCAGAGTTCATAGAAGGTGGGTAGTTACAAGTCCCATTACAAATGTGTTTCATCATGACTTTTGATATGACTATTGAATTCCAAGAGGCTCTCAGGAGTGAAGTTATATTTCCATACAAGAAAATTAATGCATGGTGATAAGGGGGTGCTCTCGTAATCCAAATTACATGCGATAGGCTTCCACCTCCAATATGGGGTAGGAGAAAAAAGAAAAATCTCTAACTCACAAAACACTGGCAAATAGCACCAGCATTTCACTGTCCCTGGTAAACCTATGGTACATAGAAGTTGGTGACTTTTAATAACACGTTACATCTACTTTGCATATATCATCGGCTGATTCTAGTTTCTAGCAATTCATTTAATACAGAAGAGATATGGGGATTCTTCATGTTTCCATTGGAGCCCAGCCTAACTAATCTACTCGCTCTACATTTAGCATTGCCTCCATAGAATTCCTTTTGCACCGCCTAATGAAACGTGACTACATCAGAAGAACTTCTCACATATAATAATTGCCTCTACCACTTAAACCATGTCACATTTTCTCTCATATTCAATAATTCACACCTGAATTTGTTAAGGCAAAGTAATGCTACATCAGCAATTATCGAGCAAAGATGGCTTTTGGAAAAGGAAAAGAGCTGAAACTAGGTGTTGAAAGATAGAATCAAAAGCCATACTTAAACTTTGTAAAGAACATGTCAAATCTCTCCTCCTTTTAAATTAACTGATTTCGTATTTCATTTTTTTCTGACGATTGAATGAAAGAATCATTTAATGACGGATTGAGCTGCTCAGGCCTGAGGATGGTGCTTGCAAAGAGTGCCAGTAGCAATTATTGTGCTTTAAAGAAATTAACATATGTATTAAGATGAAATTTAGCGCATAAAGAACTACTGCCCTTATTTGAGACTATTGACAGGATCAGCAGCCTGTAGGAACTTTGCTTAATTTTTCTTCCTGCTCACCAATTGAATACCCCTGTGCAACATTAACCCAATTGCAAGATGAAAGACCAAAAGGGATTAAACATTCCATTTCTAAATACGATGATATGATGCACCTGTGTAGCCATGAGTATTAAATTGCAGAGAAAAGTGTGTGGGTGCCCGTTTCAGCACCTACTAACATTAATTCTGTTACCTTCGCATTCTTTCTCCTAACGTATCATATTTCAAGGAAATGGAATGATGTGGATGACAGCAGAGAAGCTCCCCCAGCTATATGGAGAGGGTCATAATTCAAAAATCAACAGAATCCTCTTTCGAGGGAAGATAAAAGTGACATGGCAGAGACACACAACTACCATTTTATGGTCAATGGACAGAGAGTTAGCAGGATTACCGCCACTCAATCCAGGTAAGACAAATCATGCTATCTCCTCCTTTACTTCCATGCTGCAGTTCTGTCATGTCATATTCTATAAGCTAAAGCAATATGTGTAATGTACTGAAACCCTAAACATAACACATAACTGATGTGAACACAAAACACTGCGATGTGCAAGTTATTAATACATGATTCTTGGAAGAAATAAACCAACATTTATCAAATCACAGCACTAGTTGCCACAGCTCGAAAACTTGACAAGTGAAGCTTCCACAAATTACTCATGATTTCGTGGGTGACACCTTGGCTGTTAATGTGTCACAATTGATCAAGACAATAAAATTAGGCTTATCTAGTAATGAAATACACCGTACCTAAAACGATACATAATTGATGGTTAAATCTATCTGATAAATGGGACGCTAATGTTTAATCACCATATGAGTTCGATATGTTATACGTCTTGAATAATGAAAAGTTCAACCCTGTTTTTCCATGAATTTAACAGCTAATACTTATGGAATGATTGACTGGCATGCATTCATAACTCGTTGTTTGAAATGATTTACATCACGAATGTGCTTTGAGTAAACCTTCGCTTCAACATGTTCTCACCAGTAAAAGTCTAATTGGAGACAGGTCTGGCGACCTTGCTGGCCACTCCACAAGCTAAAAAGTCACATATGGTGCACGACTTCTGGAACACCCTGTAGATCGAGTAGTGGCATGGTATCATCCTGTAGTAGTGACATGGTATCACGCTGAATAGAAATTCAAAAAGACATAATCAAATCAACAGTTCAATACACTCATCGCCAAAAAAGCAATACCAAGAAGGAATTGAGGGATCTGGATGAAATTTGGTATGAGTGAGTTATGAAATTGATGCTAGTTTCAAGGTCGTAGGTTGAATATTAAAAAAGAAAACTTGTCAAATATTTCAATTGAAATGGGGTTGAAAATGGTGGCATTCATCGCCCATAAAAAGAATATCTAGAAGGAGTTTACTAATGAAACGAGAAACAGGAACTTTTACTGATGTTTAGTATTAATACAATGGAGCAACTTTCCGTAAAAAGTTCTGAACTGATGTTGCTCCTGTGTGACTGACTTTAACTGTACAAACTACAACAGGCACTCACCTTTTTCGCTGAATCGTCGTTTCCCTTCCAATAAGCTGGAAAAGAGCTTCAATGACTTTTTTGGAAAATGTAAATGCATTTAATAAAACATGACATGTGCTTTTGTTTGCTACAAATTAAATGTATGAACGTTTAATTGCACATGATTTATTAAACATTAAAGTTGTACGAATATTTTATGGACACCTTGTTTATTTTTTAAAATCTCTCAAATAAGGATGAATGTAGAGAGATAAGGGAAAAAAGAAAATGAAACGAAACAACCTGTTTAGTTCTTTCGGACTCCTTTTGCAAAGGAAGGCCTCATTTTATAATTGATATAAAACTCAAACGAAAAATTACCTGTTTAATTTTGATAAACAAGAGTCAAAGATATGAATGCCCAAGAGCAATTATTGATTTTCTCGCAACATTTGAAAACGCCGGAATTGATGAATCTCCTTTGGACAGCAATCCATGTAAAAAGAATAGTTCCTTTCCATGGCATCAAGTGTTTCGTTCCAACTCACAAAACTAAAGTAACAAGTAGCTCGGAACGTGAACAAGTAAACGATCTCGGACATGCATCAATTAGCTTCAAATGCATCATCCGTCCTAATCTCTTTAAGTATGTCTGCTCATTGGAAAAAGTAAGCAGACAAAACACTTTCCGCTGAAAGTCTTCTAGAGCGTTTGAGTTATCCAACACAACTTATTTGTACAAACTTATGTTAACATTGGGGTACTAAAATCTCACAGTCCCGCATGAATAAAAATGAAGACATGCAAGTCTAACTTCAGAGAGGGGGAGCTTCATTTTAAAATAGTTATGAACGAAATTTGATACCAATATGAATTTCCTTCCAGAAAATCTCGGGAGAGGACATGGAATCCCAGAATTGATCAGTACGTTCTCCGAACCCCGTTTCTATCTTCTGCCATTGAGGTAGTAAATTGACGATTCCTGCTTCTCATTCCAGGCAATCTCAGATTAGACGGACCAGGAAGGATTTTTCAAAGCATTGGTAGTTACAAACGTTGTTCGTTGGTGGGGACCATGGATTACATTTAGCAATGCCTAATAGCGTGAATTTCTATGTAGGAGAGATGGGGACGGCCAAATTGGATCGATTGCGGGAAGCCATAAGTGTGTTGCGATTTCTTTCCTGCCCTTTTCCATCTCCACTGCAATGCAATAGGGGGGATTATATTTTTTCAGGTTATTTGACTCTGCACGAAAGATCTGCAGTTCTGGACGCCATAGGTGAGTCTGCGTTTTTTCAATCCCCTTCTCCATCTCCACTTCAATGTGATATGAGAGATCATCTCTTTTCCAGCCTGCATGGAACCAGGTGAAGGAGCTGGAGCCCTCAGCGCCATAAGTGAGTCAAGATTTATCTTACCACCCCATTTACATCTCCATTGCAATGCGATACGAGAGCTCACTTCTTGAGTCTCTTTTTTCAGGCCTGCTACATCCGAATCAGGCGTCAGATGTTCTAACCGCCATAAGTCAGAACTCCTCTTTCCTGATTTTTTTCCATCTCCACATCAATGCGATACCACAATGCGATACCATATATTACCTATGTTTTCAGAGCTAATGGAACCAGATGAACGGGTTACATCCCTGACTGCAATAAGTGAGAGAATTAGTATTTCCGGTCTTCCATCTAAATTTCAAGGCGATCCAAGATTTCATTTTTTTTAGGCCAGATGAACCCACGTGAAAAGGCTTCATTTCTAGAAGCTATAGGTGTGTCAGAATTTTTCTTTCCTCCCATTTCCCACCTCCACTTCTTCGTGATATCAGATATCATTATTTTTTAAGGCTGGCTAGGCCCTGGTGATAAATCTACAATTCTATCCGCCATAAGTAAGTCAGGATGTCACTTTCCTGATTTTTTTACACATCCACTTCAGTACGATACCATAGATCATATCTCCTTTTCAGGCAGGATGAACTCGGATGAACGGTCAAGAACCCTAATTGCCATAAGTCAGGAGGGGTTTTCTTTCTGCCTTTTTCCATATCCGCTTCAATGCGATACGAGAGATCTATTTTGTTTTCAGACCAGATGGACTCTCCTGAAAGGTCTAGATCCCTGCACGCCATATGTAAGGGTTTTCTTTCCTGGCCGTTTCCATATCCGCTTCCATGTGATACGAGAGATAGATTATTTTTCCAGGTCTGATGGCAACGGCTGTCAGATCTACGGTTTTAACAGACATAAGTGAGTCGATATTTAACATTTCTGACTTTCTTACATCCAAATCAATGCGGTATGAGAGATAATCTCGTTTCTCAGGCAGAATTGAGCCAGATGAAGGGGCTAGAGCCCTGACCGCCATAAGTGAGTCAGCAATTTTCTTTCCTGGTCTTTCCCATCTGTACCTCATGGAGATATGAGAGGCCATCTTTTTTCAGACCGAATTGACCCGGATGAAGGGGCTAGAGCCATAAGCGCTATAAGTCAGACGGCATTTTTCCTTCCTCCCCTTTTCTATCCGCACTTCATTACGATTTGAGAGCTCATCTCCTTTTTTTCAGCCCGGATGGCCCCGATTCAAAGATCAACATTTCTCAACAACATAGGTGTGTCGGGATTTTCCTTTACTTCCCCCATTTTCATTTCCACTTCAACGTGATACGATTAGTCCTATATTTTACCAGGTTGGATGGTCCCAGATGAACGAGCTACAGCGCTAACCACCTTACGTGAATGGCACTTTTTTCATTTTTGCCGATTTCCATGTCCTCTTATAAGACATACCAAATATCATTTTCAGTGCGAACGGACTCAGATGAACCGGGTGAGGTCCCCATCGCCATAAAAGATACCTATTTTTTATGTTCCGCCCTTCTCCATTTCTATGTCAATGCAATATGAAATATCAATTTTTTTAGGCCCCATTGCACCAGAGGAAGAGACAACAATACTAAATGTCACAAGTGTGGATTTTTCATCGTTTGCCTATTTCCATCCCCACTTCGAAGCATACAATATAATCATCTTTTTTCAGGCGGAATGGATCCGGATGAACGGGATGAAGTCCTGGCAGCCACAAGTTGGAAGCGATTTTCATTTTCTGGCCTTTTCCATCTCCACTTTGCTAATATTTGATGATCAACTCCTTTTTCAGGCCGTATGACACCGATTGAGAGATCCAAAGTTCAAGAAGCAATATGTGAGAATGGAATATTTCCTTCCCATCAACATCTAAAATTCAATGCGATAAGATAGATCATGCATTTTATCAGGTTGGATGGACCCGGATAGGCGTGCCAAAACGCTGACCGCCATATGTGAGTCAGGTGGTTTTTTTAAATTCATATCATCATCCATCTCCTCTTCGAGACGATGAGATTCACTTTTTTTTCCAGGCCGAATGGACCGCGATGAAAGGGGTAAAATACTAACCGGAACGAGTGAGTTGGAATATTGAATATTGATTTTCTGTCCTTTTTCATTTGCACTTCAATGCGATATAAGAGATCATCTCCTTTATCAGGCTGGATGGCCCCGGACGGAAGATTTACAGTTACAATGGCGATAAGTGAGTTGGATGCTGTATATATCTTGTTCTTTTCCATATACACTCCAATGTGATATGAAATATCGTCTCTTTTTATCTTTTAGGCCAAATGGACCAAGATGAAAGGAATGAAGTCCTAACCAGAATAAGTGAGTCGAGATTTTCCTTTCCTGCCCTTTCCCATTACCATTTTTTGCAACATGAGAGAGGGTATATCTTTTTTTAAAGACCAAATAGCCCCAGCTGCACGGGCTAAATTTCTTCCCGAAATATGTGAGTGGGAGTTTGCTTTCTTGCCCTTTACCATATCCATTTGCATGCGATACGAGGTATCACCAATTTTTCAGTCAAGATGGACCCAGGTGAAATATCTAAGTTTCTAAACGCCTTATGTGAGTGAGGATATTTATTTCCTGCCTTTTCGGCTCCATTTCGGCCCCACTTCAATGCGATATGAGGGATCACCTCTTTTCTCCCTCTTTTTTCAGGCCGGATGACGCCAAACCATCAGGCTAGAGCCGTGACAGCCATAAGTGGGAATTTGTATTTTCTTTCCTCTTCCTCCTCCATTTTAACACTGTCTCAGTTAACAAAAGCCTTTTTTCCTCATTCCTTCCCCAAATCCCACCTCTCGGTACATGCAAACCATACGACGGAAAAGACAATAGCTGTAAATTCTATATTTGTTGTTTATATTCTGAGGCATCTTCATTTTCTGAGGCTCTGTCATCGTTTTCCAAATGTTGATTTGCATGAGCTTTGGAAAATTGCTCTTCTTCCTTCGTCATTCCTTCTCCTTCGTCTTTTCGATCGTGGCCACATGGACTGCTGTCACCTTCCCCAACTGTTCTTGGGGTGAGCCTTCAACATCTGCGATTGTAAAATATTGGTTATGGCGAAGAATTGCTGTCTTGAAGATTCACTCGAGAAGACTTGGGGAAGGTGACAGCAGTCCACGTAACCACGATCAAGAAGAATCGAATGACGAAGGAAGAAGAGTAATTTTCCAAAGCTTATGAAAATCAAAATTTGGAAAATGCAGATGATAACTAAGAATTGAAATATATGGCATTTTTAATTGCCTTTTCCTTTGAGTGGTTTGCTTGGGCTGAGAGGTGGGGGTTAGGGAAGGAGGGGAAAATTAAAAACTTCTTTTAACTGAGACAGGGTTAATGCCATGCATAAAATCACCTATTTTTGCCCCTCTTTTTTCAGGTCAGATGTCCCTAAGGGAACGGGCTGAAGCCCTGAACGCTACAAGTGAGTGGGGGTTTACTTTCCTGCCCCGTTGCAATGCCATTTTAATGTGATATAATAGATCGCCTCTTCTTGTCTCTCTTTCTTTTAGGCCTCATGACTCCAAGCGATCAGGCTATAGCCCTGAGCGCCATAAGTGAGTGCAGTTTCTTATTTCCCGCCATTTCAATGTGATTTTGAGAGCGATGACCTCTACCTGCCTTTTTTTTCAGGCCGGGCACGCATGCTGCCTAGAGTTCTACCTAGAGTTCTAATCGCCATAAGTGAGTGTGGATTTTTATATCCTGTCAGTTTGCACGTCCCCTTCAATGCGATTTGGAGAGAGATCACCTTTGCTTGCCTCTTTTCATTAGGTCAGATCGACCCAGTCGAACGATCTGGAATTTTAGGCATCATAGGTGAGTGTGTTGTTTTACTTCCTGCCATAAATCCACATCAACGCGATAGCAAGAGGTCACCTAGTCTTTCAATCGTCTTTTTATTTTTAGGCCGGATTGATCCAGATGAAGGGGCTGAAGCACTGGCTGTCATAGGTGAGTGGAGATTCTTCTTTCCTGTGCCCGTCCACTTCAATGAGACTTCCAGACATCACTACTTTTTGCCTATTTTTTCAGGCTGGATGGGTGCGGTTGAAAGATCTGCAGTTCTAACCACCATAAGTGAATTGGGACTCTTATTCGCTACATTTATCCATGTTTAAAAGAAAATGTGATTCGACCTCGTCTTTCATTTTCAGCGGACCTCGAGGATATCGGAGCCGACATTTTTATCGAACTCTTAGGTAGAATTGAAAATTTTACTGTTTACGCGTTCCATATACCGTCTCTTTGGTGCATGTGTTTGTCCTTGTAGTGGATCCTGGAGTTGCAAGAACAGCAAGCCTTCTCGGAATTTTTTGTGAGGATATTTACCTATCTTAGAACGACTTTGTTTGTAATTCTATTTCCTAATTAATGTTTATTTTCCCCCAGACAAGTGTTCAGGCAGAGCACGTCGTAAATTCCTGGAACGTAAGTGTTTCGTTTTATGGGTTTTTATTATAAATTCCCTCCCCAGCCAATTTCTTCCTAAACTACATTCATATTTCTTCCAGAGAAGGGACACTTCCAGGCCCATCTGTTCCTTTTGGACAAGCAAGTTCAAGGTTTAGGATTATTGCCAAAGTGTCTCTCTGTACTCTGTACACTGCACCTCGTCCCACTAATTTTCTTTCATCATTTTCTTAAAGGCGATATCAGCCTGGAAGAGCAACATGATTTCCTGGAAGTCATTGGTTAGAATCACTTATTTTCTTCAAGCGTTTTTTCGGGTAATTTCATGGGTTGAAATGGATTCATACTTTTTATAGAGATGATCGGGCTACAGCGGACGATGACTTTATTTCGAAGTCTTGGTATTGACTTCTTTTTATGTTTTCATTTTCATATCAGATTTCGAGGCAATTAACTGCTTTCAATTGATTTCAGAGGAACTATCCGAGGACAAACGTCATCAGTTCCTGGATGTAATAGGTATGTATACCAAACATCCTTTTCATTTCTATATCTCAATCATTATGGACTCATTCTTCACAGGATTGTTTTCTTCACAGGAAGACTTGGAGCCGAGAAAATAAAATGACCTGCATTTAATTTCTTCTGTTAAAGGGTAGATTGAAAATGCTTAGTCATTTTTCTTTTTAATTTTCACACGCCAACATTTCATTTCCGCACCTTATGAGATTTGCTGCCTTATTTATTTCCTTTTTACCATGCTTTAGGTGTTTGCTGATCCTCGCCTTCCATTCTAAGCTTGGCGACCCAGGTGAAGTCTTCCTTGGGACTAGTGGCAGGTAAACCCGCTGCAAACCGAAGAAAATGAAATGCTAAGTTGTTGTGGAAGAAATCTCCATGAAATCAGGAACTCCCGAAAGCCCCAAAACGTGCTCAATAGGCGTCTCATTATATTTATTGCTAGCGTTCCATTCACGTCCTTGGGAACGTTCTAGTGGCTTCTCAAGTGTCCAAAATTCAAAGTCCAACTTTTTTTGCCCACATCATATGAGAAAACTCTTGGATGCAGTTGATATTTGGCAGAGGTTCATTGACTTCAACCGACTTTTTCCCTTGCCTAAGAATGACAGCAAGTGGATTGGTGATGCTGTGGTCGACATCAGCGCCCTCTATCAGCATGCAGCGCCATCTTGCGACACAGGAAAAACCTTATCGACCCATGAACCGTTCTCTCAATCATTTCCTGAACTTTCCCTTGATTATTTATATGCAATCAAAATATGGTGGTAATAAAAACCCTCTGTACTGTATAGAGCTATATTAATAATTCAGAGATAATTTCTGATTCATTTCATTCACCAAATGTTCGTCAATGAAAGTATTCTCCAAACGAAGTGAAATGACACCAAAGCAAGAATGCGGCAATGATCAAACGTTATGGTACGAAACTCGCCTGTAAAAATGACCATTGATAATGGCAACATAATTTTATTATCGAACAGATTCTGCTTTACTCGACGAATTTGTCGCAGTAGTGATAAGAGGTGAAGAAGTGTTTGAATCAGAGACATTTCCGGCACCACGCGCATTTGATCATTTTCAGGCCATCGCAGTCTTGGCAAAAAAACCATCACTCCAGTTGCAGAATTCCACAGGAATCGGGAAACTGGGTTGTCGTTCATCATCGAATTCAGATTTAAACCACGAGTACTTGAAAATATTCACGAATATAGGTGATGAGAGCTGATTGTGGACAAGAGACTGCAGCTTCATGAGACTGTTTCGCTGATGAAGAACCACAATATGATGAATAAGGAGAACAAGATTAGAGAATTTTCTCATGAAGTTCTTCAAGATCCAATATCCGTATTCATCAAGAGTTTAGTTAAGCCCATTTGTTTGCTTCGGGATTTTGCAAATATACCCTTCTTGGTCTTGAAGGGTAACGTTAGTGAATGCCTGCTGATCTGTATAGCCAGTCCACGAGTCGAGGTGCAAAACGCTTCTTGCACCGACGCTTGTTGAGAAGACATCTTTGAACACACGCTTGAGGTGATCCTTGATAAGCTTTCCTAATGATGGTGCAAGGACGTACACAATAGAAGCTTGAAACAAGCTCCGATACAAGTGTATTGCATAGATGTGGGTAAGTGAAGAGATTGACTGAACCACAGCTTCGACGTGCTTTGATCCTTCAGCAGCTAACGTCCTCCCAGAATGGATTCCAAAGTTGGATTCCCACTCTGGTCGGTGTTGAAAACGCAATCAGCCCCATAGCTCAAAATGTGTGCTCTGCAGTTCCCCACCAACTCTTTCCTGTTGTTAACGGTGTGTTGTATCTCTCCGGTGTAGCTTCTTGTGATGAACTTCATGATTTTGCGAGACAATTCGATTTGATTTCTTGAGCTTCCATATCCATCGAGGCGATGCTGCGAGTTTCAAATACAAGTACTTACCTTGAATGGAGGTCCTTTATCTCGATCTCACTCGAATTGATTGGTGTCCCTGGATCTCTGATTCTTCCATACGTTTCATTCAGCAATTTCATCACGTTCTGGGGATTAATGTTAACCATTTTTCTGATGAGTGCTTCTAATCAAATATAAAGGACATTAGTAGAGCATATGTGCTCTCCTATTGTCCTTTGAACATTTCATATTGTCTTTTGAACATTTCACCTTCACATATGCAAACCATTTCAACTTCATATATACATTCGCATATGGAGCACGATGGCTCATCTTACATAATTTATATATTGGTTATACGTACTTTACTTCCATTCTGCAGTTTTGCCATGGCATATTCTGTAAGCAAAAACAATATGTGTAATGTACTGAAACCATAAACATAACACATACCTGATATGAACTCAAAACACTTTGCGATAAACAACTTATTAATACATGATTCTTCGAAGAAATTAAGCACCATTTATCAAATCGTCATAGCTAGAAAACTTGGCAAGTGAAGCTTCCACAAATTACTCATGATTTCGTGGGTGACACCTTGGCTGTTAATGTGTCACAATTGATCAAGACAATAAAATTAGGCTTATCTAGTAATGAAATACACCGTACCTAAAACGATATTCACCAGTAAAAGTCTAATTGGAGACAGGTCTGGCGACCTTGCTGGCCACTCCACAAGCTAAAAAGTCACATATGGTGCACGACTTCTGGAACACCCTGTAGATCGAGTAGTGGCATGGTATCATCCGAAGAAGAGACGCTGAATAGAAATTCAAAAAGACATAATAATCAAATCAACAGATTAATACACTCATCGCCAAAAAAAAGTCATACCAAGAAGGAATTGAGGGATCTGGATGAAATTTGGTATGAGTGAGTCATGAAATGGATGTTAGGTCGTAGGTTGAATATTAAAAAAGAAAACTTGTCAAATATTTCAATTGAAATGGGGTTGAAAATGGTGGCATTCATCGCCCATAAAAAGAACATCTAGAAGGAGTTTACTAATGAAACGCGAAACAGGAACTTCTACTGATGTTTAGTATTAATACAATGGAGCAACTTTCCGTAAAAAGTTCTGAACTGATGTTGCTCCTGTGTGACTGACTTTAACTGTACAAACTAAAACAGGCACTCGGCTTTTTCGCTGAATCGTCGTTTCCCTTCCAATAAGCTGGAAAAGAGCTTCAATGACTTTTTTGGAAAATTTAAATGCATTCAATAAAACATGACATATGCTTTTGTTGGTACAAACCATATGTATGAAGGTTTAATTTTTCTTGATTCATTAAATATTAAAGTTGCATGAATATTTTATGGACACCTTGTATATTTTTTAAATCTCCTCAGTAAGGATGATCTCTTTTAACGTTTTCATCTTCATATCAGATTTCGAGGCAATTAACTGCATTCAATTGATTTTAAAGGAATTCTCCGAGTACAAACGTCCTCGGATAGAACAGGCAAGAAATAGCCACATCTGCGATGGTGAAACATGTGTAGTTTGACATAATTACAGAGGCAGTTTACCAGAGTAAGTTTACAATGAGCAAGCTGAACTGAGGTCATTTTTAAAAAAAAGATTATCGCATCCACTTGTTGTCACATTTCCGTTCCGTCTGTGGCAACTGACAAGTCAGCGGACACATTCACTTGTGAGGATGAAGGGAATATTTATTTGCTCTCGTTCCTTTGCCTTGCGTGGAAAGAGACTAGCACGAGAAATTTCTCTTCTGCGTCTGTCTCCAGACAGACGCATTGGGGGGAAATGACGTTCAACATCAAGATGCCATATACATGGCACAGCTGTACGCCCAGGGAGCAAAACTTGGTGCTCGTACAGGAGCAGAGCCTCCTGGCCTTCCATAAGAGAGTCCCTGGATAAGGGAACGGCCCTGTCCCTATTTAAAAACCGATATTGTCATTCATCATGAACGATATCTCAGATGGAGTATTTTCTTAGGGAAAAGAGGATGCTGTACTCCTTCGACATGGATCTTGCGCCATTCGCTTGTTCCTATCACCAGCAGAAATAGTGCAAATAGAATCCATCTGGACAGAACCGTGGACGATGGATTGGATGTTCGAAGAACGAATCTTCACTGCGTCAGGCAAGGGTCATTCAGGAAGGGCTACGCATTGCGCCCAACCTTCTCTCGAGAATCGAATCACAGGAAATGAATTGGGAGACGAGTTTCAGCAAGAAGAATGATGTTGACGAGGTGGCAATGTTAGAGCAACAATGCAGCGCGTTTATCTCGTCGATGTCGGAGGTCCAGGACATACCTGCTGCCTTGAATACCTGAATCCTGTCCTTGCATATCTTTAAAACAATAAATGCATATACAGTATATGTGTTGTCCCTTAACCCTTGCCATTCATTTCTCTTTGTGAGAGGCATGGATCTACAAAGTACAGAGACGTATCAGTTCTACAGTTCTTCTTCGCCAAACCCCCTTCTTGCGTAGGGGGTTCGGTGAGTGAAAATATTCTCTTTGGAACAGAGAGCAGATGTGCAGTGAAAGAGGAGGGTAGGAGATCGAGTAATTAATATCCATATCCATCGCGATCGAGAACACTGTCCTCATACGCCCGTACTAAGAAGTCCTCACCGTCAGCAAAGTTTTTGCGTGCAAATAGTTGAAACTAACCCGTTTCCCAGAGTCTGAATAATCTAATATATATTGACGATCGAGACAGACTGTTTGACTGACTGACGCTATTTCTAACCATGTTCCAGAAAGGTTAAAAATCTGAAACTCGGTACACATGTAAATTTTGGGTTGCAGAGTTCAGAAATAATCCAACTTTGGAA